TAAAGTCTAGTGGCTAGATTTCAACCTCAATCAAGTTGTTTTCGCTTTTCTGTTTATCTCTCTTGTTCCCTCTTCCTCTCTTTCTTCTACTCCTCTCTTATCTCAGTACATCTCATTCTTCTGCTCTTTTCCTGTTGCTCTCAGCAGCAAGCACACCATGGTGAGGCTCATTACATGGGGAAGTAACACCTTAAACTCAAAAGCCCGTGTTGTACACACACTTGCTCTAATGTGTGTGTGCTCAAGGACATAACAGACTTATAAAATATAATAACTGGCCGGTGAACACAGACAAGTGGTTACATACAGTAACTAAGGAGAGAATGGAGTCTCTGGTGAGGCCAAAGCTTCAATATCCTGAAATGTTTCCAAATGGATAAGAGCAAATGACACACAAACACACTTCCTTACACGCGCGCACGCGCACGCACACGCACACGCACACGCACACACACACGCACACACACACACACACACAGACAGACAGACCACAGCCATGAGAATGTTGTGCACAGAGCCACAGACACAATCATAAGTATGGTTGAGTGCAGCTTTCCGCTCTCATTGTGGGCATCTGGTATCTTAACCATGTATGAGACTGAATGAGCATGTGAAATATAGAGAGTGTGGGAAGAGAGAGAGAAAAAAAACGAGATTGAGATAAGATATAAACACAAGGCAATTGATTATAATGTGAATTAGGGAAGGATGATATTCTTGTTATTGTCACAGTTATTTTACTAGCATTATACAGTATTATCACGTGCAAGTACAGTGATTTCATTAGGCGGGTTTTATCTTGCAAGTAAGAAGGTGTTAAAGTCTCTTACTCAAACTCTGATTAAAGCAAAAACAGCATCAGAGTAAGCAAGATTTATTCGAATCAGCACAAATATACTGCATAGAATGGAAGTATTTCTGCATATGTCTCTAAAAGTGTGACTAATACATTGACCTGTGCCACGGTTTCACAAACATCTGAGGCCCTGACCATAAACCAACTGCAGCAACGCTATGTTTGCTTGTCTACAGGATGGCATCTGTGCAAATCCTTATAGTAAACAATAAAAAAGAAACAGGAAAACGGCCAAAAAATAACAAACAATCGCCTAATCCTGTCCTTTCACCCACCACTGCTGTGGTACCTCAATACTACCTGACAAGAATCTTCATCAGAACTATATTACCTCCTTTAAAGTCAGCATAAAAAGACAATTCACCTTATCTGTTTTGCAAATGCATGTTATAGCTCTTATTGTGAATGAATACATTTAGATGTTCCATTTTTCTGACCTCTTTATTTACAATAATGGCATAACTCGACAGCATTCGGGAGTTATGGGCAGAGGAGACCTGGGAGTATTGCTTGACCTATGCTGGCTATGTTGGCAAATCACTATGATACATACTTCGAAGTGACGGCATAAGCCGGCATAATGATTAAAAGTAGTGCTGGGCGGTATACCAGTTCATACCGAATACCGGTGTTTATTTTTGTTATGATATGAATTTTTAAAATACCGCAATACCGGTGTATGTCGCTTAATTAAACAACGTTCGGAACGCGACACTGTTTGAAAGAAGTCCCTTTTCACTGTTGCACTGTGGTGAGGGAACAGCTGTATGTGTTACTAAGCGTGAAAGTTCCGA